CCCTCCCTCCCTCCCTCCCTTCCTTCCTTCCTTCCTTCCTTCCTTCCTTTCTGGAAAATGTCTGGGAAAAAGCTCTTTGTGACCAATGGTGAGGGGATGCCTTTCTCCAAAGTGAAGAATCTATGTGCTGGGCTCCAGGCCACAGTGGCTGCCCACAAGAATGCCGAGGAGAATAAGGCCATCCAGGATGTGACCAAAGACAGTGCTTTCCTGGGCATCACACTTGAGGCCACCAAAGGTCAGTTCATGTACGTGATGGGCAGGAGACTGACCTACAGCAACTGGAAGAAGGATGAGTCACACGACCATGGCTCAGGGGAGGACTGTGTGATTCTCCTGAAGGACAGGCTCTGGAATGACATCTCATGCACATCCTGCTTCCTGGCTATCTGTGAGTTTCCCACCTGAAGAGGCACATTCCTCAGCCTCCTCCTTGGCTCGCAGCTGAAATATCTGCTGTCCCTCCAAATTAATATGTTGAAATCCTAACTCTCAAGGTGACAGTATTAGGAGATGGGGATTTGGGGAGGTAATTAGGCCATGAAAGCAGAGGCTAATGATTGGGATTAGTGTCCTTAGTGCCCCTAAAGAGACTTCAGAGTGCTAGTTAGCCCCCTTACACCCTATGAGGACAGCCAGAAGGTGCCACCTATGAACCAGAGAGCAGACCCTCACAAGACATCACATCTGTTGGTGTTTTGCTCTTGGACTTTCCAGCCTCCGGATCTGTAAGAAATACATTTCTGTTGTTTATAAGCCCTTCAGTTTGCAGTATTTTGTTACGGCAGCCTGAGGGGATTAAGACAGCACCAAGAACCAAAACCACACAATATTATAAAATACTAACAATGCAATGGCTGCACATAAGAGCTATTCAAAATTTTTATACTATGTTATACTCCACAAATTAAAACTGATTTTTTGCCCATTTTCTAATTAGATTGTTTGTTTTTTGACTGTTAAGTTTTGAGGGTTCATTATACATATTAGATACAAGTCCTTCATTGGATATGTGATCTGTAAATATTTTCTTCCATTCTGTAGCTTGTCTCTTCATACTCTTAACAGGGTCTTTCACTGAGCAAAATTTTCCATTTTGGTGAAGTCCAGTTTATCAATCTTCTTTTAATATATTGTGTTTTGGTGTCAAGTATATGGACTTTTTGCCTAGTCCAAGATAGCAAACATTTATTTTTTTCTAAAATTTTATAGTTTTACATTTTAATTCAAGTCTATCATCCATTTTGAGTTAATTTTTGTATAAGATGTGAACCTTGGATTGACGTCCCCCTCTCTCCTTGTCTTCCTCCCTCTGTTTCTCCCTCCATCCCTCCTTCACCTCTTTCTTTCTCTCTTTCTTTCCTTTCTTTCTTTCTCTTTCTTTCTTTCTTTCTTTCTTTCTCTTTCCTTCTTTTTCTTTCTTTTCTTTTTTTTTGGCAGAGTCTTACTCTGTTGCCCACACCCAGGTTGGAGTGCAGTGATGCAGTCTTAGCTCATTGCAACCTCTGCCTCCTGGGTTGAAGTCATTCTCATGCCTCAGCCTCCCAAGTAGCTGGGATTACAGGCACACACCACCATGCCCGGCTAATTTTTGTATTTTGTAGTAGAGACAGAGTTTTCTTGGTCAGGCTAGTCTCAAACTTCTGGCCTCAAGTGATTCACCCACCTTGGCTTCCCAAAGTGCTAACATTACAGGCACTAGTCACCACACTGGGCCCCCTTCCTTCCTTCCTTTTTATTCCTATGGATGTCCAATCACTTTAGTACCATTTGTTGAAAAGGTTGTCTTCCCTCCGTTGCATTGCTTTTGCTGTTTTGTTAAAAATGTTGAACATATTTGTTTGGGTCTGTTTCTGGGTTCTCCATTCTGTCATAGTGATATAAGTGTCCATCTTGCAGCCAATATCACAGTCTTTTTTTTTTCCCATCTCTCAAATAAAAGATTACTGGAACCGTCTCTCAGTGAGGTGGAGAACTTGATTTCAGGAAAACTGGTGTTCTATTCAGAGTACAAGGAAATATGTTACAGTTCTTAGCACCCTTCCTTTGTTTAATCTATACTCCTCAATCTTTGTCCAGTGTACCTTCACACAGGGGATATGGAGGTTGAGGATAGTTTGTTTTTTTCACTGAACATGGGACAGTTTTTGGTCTTTTTGTATTCTTTTGTATAATTTTGATACATTTTTGTGGTTGTATAAATCTGTAATGTATTTTTATTTGGTTTTTAACATTATTTTAATTGACAAAAATTGTATGTATTTATCTTGTACAACATGTTGTTTTGAAATATATCTACATTGTGGAATGGCTAAATGGAGTTAACTGCTACAGGTATTACCCACATACCCATCAGTCTTTTCTGGTAAGCATACTTACAATCTAGTCTCTTAGCAATTTTCAGGAATACAATACATTCTTATTCTTGTAGTCACCATGTTGTACAATACAACACAGTCTGGATTGCTGTAGCTCTATAATAAATCTTAAAATTGGGTGTATTAATTCTCCTTACTTTATTAATCATTTTGAAGATTGTTTTAGTTATTGTAGTTCTCTTGCCTTTCCATATACTTTTTAGAATAATCTTGTCAATACCTACAATCATGTTTGGATTTTGATAGCAATTGTATTGAACTTGTATAACAACTTGAGGAAATTAACATATTTACTGTGTTTGTTTACAATCCATGAATACATTATGTCTCTCCATTTATTTCGATCTTTGATTTCCTGCATCAGCACTTTCTAGTTTTCAGCATACATGCCCCTGTTTTGTTGTTATGCCTAGATATTTCGTTTTTAAAGTGATTGTAAATGGTATCTTATTTTTATTTTGTTGTTCATGTGTTCATCACTACTAAATAGAAATACAAGTGATACTATTTTATTTGTTATTTATTTATTTATTTTTAAAAGACTTTACTTTCTAGAGCAAGTATAGGTTCATGACAAAATTAAGTGAGAAGTGCAGAGATTTCCCATATATCCTCTGCCCTACATGTGCATAACCTCCCTCATTATGAACATCCCCCACCAGATTAGTACATTTGGTACAACTGATGAACTTGCATGAACACATCATTATCACTCAGCTTCCATAGTTTACATTAGTGTTCACTCTTGGTGTTGTACATTTCTATGTGTTTGACCATCATATAATGACCAGTGTCCACCACTATAGTATCACATGGAAGAGTTTCACTGCACTAAAAATCTTCTGTGCTCTGCCTCTTCCCCCCTCACTCTCCTGTAATGCCTGGCAATCACAGATCTTTTTTACTATCTTCACAGTTTTGCCTTTTCCTGACTGTCATAGTTGGAATCATACAGTATGTAGTCTGTTCAGATTGGCTTCCTTCACTTGATAATAGGCATTTAAGTTTTCCTCCATTTATTTTTATGGCTGGATAGCTGATTTCTCCTTAGCACTGAATAACCACCTCTTGTCTGGATGTACTATGGTTTATTTATCCATACACCTACTGAAGGACATCTTGGTTGCTTCCAAGTTTTGGGAAGTATGAATAAAGCTGCTATAAAAATTTGTGTGCAGGTTTTTAGGTGGGCATAAGCTTTCAGCTCCTTTGGATAAATACCAAGGAGTGTGATTGCTGGATCATATGTCAGGAATGTGTTTAGTTTTATGAGAAACTACCAAATCATGTTCCAAAGTGGCTGTGCCACATTACATTCCCATGATCAATGAATGAGTTTCTGTTGCTCTACATCCTTGGCAGCATTTGGTATTGTCAATGTTCCAAATTTTGGCAATTCTAATAAGTATGTAGGGGTATCTCATTATTTCAGTTTGCATTTTCCTGATGACATATGATATGGAGCATCTTTTCATATGCTTATATACTATCTGTATATCTTCTTTCGTAAGTTGTCTATCAAGGACTTTGGTCCATATTTTAATCAAGTCATGTTCTTATTGTTGAGTTGTAAGAGTTATTTGTATACAACATTTCTTTGTCAGATATGTATTTGCAAATATATTTTCTCCAAGTCTCCGTTTTGTTTTCTCATTCTCTTGAAATATATATTGCAAAGCAGACATTTTTTAATTGTAATAAAGTCCAGCTTATCTATTCTTTCTTTCACAGATCATGCCTCAGGGTTGTTTCTTAAAAGTGACTGCCAAACCCAAGGTCATTTAGACCTTCTCTGTTATCTTCTAGGAGTTTTCCAGTTTTGTGTTTTACATTTAGGTCTATGATTCATTTTGAGTTCATTTTTGTGAAAGGTGTAAGTTCTGTGTCTAGATTGACTCTTTGTTTTTGGCATGTAGATGTGCAGTTGTTGTAGCAATATTTGTTGAAAAGACTATTGTTCTTTCTTCGATGCCTTTGCTTCTTTCTCAAAGGTCAGTTTACTATATTAATGCAGTTCTATTTCTAGACTCTTTATCCTGTTCCATTGATCTTTTTGTCTGTATTTTCACCAATACACTATCTCGATTACTGTACCTGTGTAGCAAGTGTTGAAGTCAGGTAGTGTCAGTCCTCCAACTTTACTCTTCTTCAATATTGTGTTGGCTATTCTGTGTCTTTTGCCTCTCCACATACACTTTAGAATCAGCTTATCGACACCTACAAAATAATTTTCTGTAACTTAACTTGATATTTTATTAAATCTATAAGTCAATCTGGAAATAATTGGCATCTTAACAATATTAAGTCTTTCTATCTTTGAACACGGAATATCTCTCCATTTTTTGAGCTCTTCTTTGATTCCTTTTATCAGAGTTTTGTGGTTTTCCTTATGTCGGTCTTATACATATTTTGTTAGATGTATGCCTTAGTATTTTATTTTGGGGGTGGTAATGTAAATGGTATGGTGTTTTTAATTTCAAATTTTACTTGTTCATTGCTGGCATATAGAAAAGTGATTGATTTTTTTGTATTAAATTTGTATCCTGTAACCCTGCCATAACTGTTTAGTAATTCTAGTTTTTTCTTCATTGTCTTAGATTTTTTTACACAACTCGTTATGTTATGTGTGACAAAGACATTGTTTTTTCTTCCATCCCAATATATATACCTCTTATTTCCATTTTTTTGTCTTATTGCATTAGCTAAGACTTTCAGTAACATGTTGAAAGCTACTTGTAAATAGGGACAAACTTGCCTTTTTCATAATCTTAGTGGTAAAACTTTGGGTTTCTCACTATTAACTATTAGTTGAAGGCTTTTTAATAGATTTTTTTAATTAAGTAGTAAACCCTATTCATAGTTTACTGAGAGTTTTGGGTTTTGTCAAATACTTGCTCTGTATCTACTGATATGATCATGTGATTTTCCTTCTTTCACATGTTGATGTGATGGGTTGCATTAATTGATTTTCCAATTTTGAAACAGCCTTACAGGCCTGAGACCAATATTAATGGAAGGCAGCTATATCAG